TGTGTTTTCACTGGTGTATGGCACTTGTGTATGGTTACTGGCACTGTGTATTATCACTGGTGAATAGCACTTGTGTATGGTTACTGGCACTGTGTATTTTCATGGTGTATGGCACTTGTGTATGGTTACTGTCACTGTGTATTTTCACTGGTGTATGGCACTTGTGTATGGTTACTGGCACTGTGTATTTCACTGGTGTATGGCACTTGTGTATGGTTACTGGCACTGTGTATTTTCACTGGTGTATGGCATTGTGTATGGTTACTGGCACTGTGTTATTTTCACTGGTGTATGGCACTTGTGTATGGTTACTGGCACTGTGTATTATCACTGGTGTATGGCACTTGTGTTTGGTTACTGGCACTGTGTATTATCATGGTGTATGGCACTTGTGTATGGTACTGGCACTGTGTATTTTCACTGGTGTATGGCACTTGTGTATGGTTATGGCACTGTGTTTATCACTGGTGTATAGCACTTGTGTATGGTTACTGGCACTTGTATTTTCACTGGTGTATGGCACTTGTGTATGGTTATGGCACTGTGTATTATCACTGGTGTATGGACTTGTGTATGGTACTGTCACTGTGTATTTTCACTGGTGTATGGCACTTGTGTATGGTTACTGGCACTGTGTATTTTCACTGGTGTATAGCACTTGTGTTATGGTTACTGGCACTGTGTATTTTCACTGGTGTATGGCACTTGTGTATGGTTACTGGCACTGTGTATTTTCACTGGTGTATGGCACTTGTGTATGGTTACTGGCACTGTGTATTTTCACTGGTGTATGGCACTTGTGTATGGTTACTGGCACTGTGTATTATCACTGGTGTATGGCACTTGTGTATGGTTACTGGCACTGTGTATTATCACTGGTGTATGGCACTTGTGTATGGTTACTGGCACTGTGTATTTTCACTGGTGTATGGCACTTGTGTATGGTTACTGGCACTGTGTATTATCACTGGTGTATAGCACTTGTGTATGGTTACTGGCACTGTGTATTTTCACTGGTGTATGGCACTTGTGTATGGTTACTGGCACTGTGTATTATCACTGGTGTATGGCACTTGTGTATGGTTACTGTCACTGTGTATTTTCACTGGTGTATGGCACTTGTGTATGGTTACTGGCACTGTGTATTTTCACTGGTGTATGGCACTTGTGTATGGTTACTGGCACTGTGTATTTTCACTGGTGTATGGCACTTGTGTATGGTACTGGCACTGTGTATTTTCATGGTGTATGGCACTTGTGTATGGTTATGGCACTGTGTATTTTCACTGGTGTATGGCACTTGTGTATGGTTCTGGAACTGTGTATTATCACTGGTGTATGGCACTTTGTGTATGGTTACTGGCACTGTGTATTATCACTGGTGTATGGCACTTGTGTATGGTTATGGCACTGTGTATTTTCACTGGTGTATGGCACTTGTGTATGGTTACTGGCACTGTGTATTATCATGGTGTATGAGCACTTGTGTATGGTTACTGGCACTGTGTATTTTCACTGGTGTATGGCACTTGTGTTATGGTTACTGGCACTGTGTATTTATCACTGGTGTATGGCACTTGTGTATGGTTACTGGCACTGTGTATTTTCACTGGTGTATGGCACTTGTGTATGGTTACTGGCACTGTATTTTCACTGGTGTATGGCACTTGTGTATGGTTACTGGCACTGTGTGTTTTCACTGGTGTATGGCACTTGTGTATGGTTCTGGCACGTGTGTTTTCACTGGTGTATGGCACTTGTGTATGGTTACTGGCACTGTGTGTTTTCACTGGTGTATGGCACTAGTGTATGGTTACTGGCACTGTGTATTATCACTGGTGAATAGCACTTGTGTATGGTTACTGGCACTGTGTATTTTCACTGGTGTATGGCACTTGTGTATGGTTACTGTCACTGTGTATTTTCACTGGTGTATGGCACTTGTGTATGGTTACTGGCACTGTGTATTTTCACTGGCTGGTGGATGGCACTTGTGTATGGTTACTGGCACTGTGTATTTTCACTGGTGTATGGCACTTGTGTATGGTTACTGGCACTGTGTATTTTCACTGGTGTATGGCACTTGTGTATGGTTACTGGCACTGTGTATTATCACTGGTGTATGGCACTTGTGTATGGTTACTGGCACTGTGTATTATCACTGGTGTATGGCACTTGTGTATGGTTACTGGCACTGTGTATTTTCACTGGTGTATGGCACTTGTGTATGGTTACTGGCACTGTGTATTATCACTGGTGTATAGCACTTGTGTATGGTTACTGGCACTCTGTATTTTCACTGGTGTATGGCACTTGTGTATGGTTACTGGCACTGTGTATTATCACTGGTGTATGGAACTTGTGTATGGTTACTGTCACTGTGTATTTTCACTGGTGTATGGCACTTGTGTATGGTTACTGGCCTGTGTATTTCACTGGTGTATAGCACTTGTGTATGGTTACTGGCACTGTGTATTTTCACTGGTGTATGGCACTTGTGTATGGTTACTGGCACTGTGTATTTTCACTGGTGTATGGCACTTGTGTATGGTTACTGGCACTGTGTATTTTCACTGGTGTATGGCACTTGTGTATGGTTACTGGCACTGTGTATTTTCACTGGGTGTATGGCACTTGTGTATGGTTACTGGCACTGTGTATTATCACTGGTGTATGGCACTTGTGTATGGTTTACTGGCACTGTGTATTTTCACTGGTGTATGGCACTTGTGTATGGTTACTGGCACTGTGTATTATCATGGTGTATAGCACTTGTGTATGGTTACTGGCACTGTGTATTTTCACTGGTGTATGGCACTTGTGTATGGTTACTGGCACTGTGTATTATCACTGGTGAATGGCACTTGTGTATGGTTACTGTCACTGTGTATTTTCACTGGTGTATGGCACTTGTGTATGGTTTACTGGCACTGTATTTTCACTGGTGTATTGCACTTGTGTATGGTTACTGGCACTGTGTATTTTCACTGGTGTATGGCACTTGTGTATGGTTACTGGCACTGTGTATTTTCACTGGTGTATGGCACTTGTGTATGGTTACTGGCACTGTGTATTTTCACTGGTGTATGGCACTTGTGTATGGTTATGGAACTGTGTATTTTCATGGTGTATGGCACTTGTGTATGGTTACTGGCACTGTGTATTATCACTGGTGTATTGGCATTGTGTATGGTTACTGGCACTGTGTATTTTCACTGGTGTATGGCAACTTGTGTATGGTTACTGGCACTGTGTATTATCACTGGTTGTTATAGCACTTGTGTATGGTTACTGGCACTGTGTATTTTCACTGGTGTATTGCACTTGTGTATGCGTTATGCACTGTGTATTATCACTGGTGTATGGCAACTTGAGTATGGTTACTGGCACTGTGTATTCAAAATGTGTATCGGCACTTGTGTATGGTTACTGGCACTGTGTTTACACTGGTGTATTGGCACTTGTGTATGGTTATGGCACTGTGTTTTTCATGGTGTATGGACTTTGTGTATGGTTACTGGCACTGTGTGTTTTCACTGGTGTATGGCACTTGTGTATGGTTACTGGCACTGTGTATTTTACGTTTTAAATGCATCTTTGTCAAGGTTAATTCTGTGTGAAAATTTTCAGATTTTGGCATGTATGAGAATTGATTTAGGTATGTTGATAAAAATACGATTTTTTACACATGTTTGCATAAAATGCAGATTTTGCGTCTTGGATAAAATACAGATTTTTTGAACGTCACTGTTGCATAAAAATACAGATTTTTTGCGTCATGTTGCTAAAAATGCAGATTTTTCGACGTTCAAGTTGCATAAATACAGATTTTTTGACGTTCATGTTGCATAAATATTACAGATTTTTTGACGTCATGTTGCATAAAAATCAGATTTTTGACGTCATGTTGCTAAAAATACTGATTTTGATCATTGCGCTGAACAAACTACAGATTTTTGACACAGTGTGAACTGCAAGAAATTCAGATTTGAGCATGTGATGAAAAATTTAGATTTTGAAGTACTGCAAATCATTAGTTGTATATTAATTTTATTGCAAAAATTTTTGTATTTAGAAGAGGAAAAATTGTGATATATTTCTACATTAAAGTAGTTTGTATCTAATGTAGTTACTATTCTCTCTCTCTCCTCTTATCTCATCTCTCGTCTCTCTCTCTCTCTCTGTCTTTTCTCTTTTCTCTTTTTCTTCTCTACTCTCTCTCTATCTCTCTCCTCTCTTCTCTTTTTCTTCTCTATCTCTCTCTCTCTCTCTCTCTTTCTCTCTTTCAAAAACTTCTCTCTTCTCTGCTTCTCTCTCTCTCTCTCTCTCTCTCTCTCTCTCTCTCTCTCTCTTCTTTCTCTCTTCTCTCTTCTCTATTAATTAATTACGAATATGCAACTCACTAATCAACTAACCAATCAATTATTGCACATCTCATATTGCATTTGCACTGTTGTGCTAGTAGCTGGCTAGAAGTTAGTGTACTGTGCTAGTAGCTGGCTAGAAGGTTGTGTACTGTGCTAGTAGCTGGATAGAAGTAGCGTACTGTGCTGGTAGCTGGCTAGAAGGTAGTGTACTGCTGTGCTAGTAGCTGGCTAGAAGGTAGTGAACTGTGCTAGTTGCTGGCTAGAAGGTAGTGTACTGTGCTAGTAGCTGGCTAGAAGGTTGTGTACTGTGCAAGTAGATGGCTAGAAGGTAGTGTACTGTGCTAGTAGCTGGCTAGAAGGTAGTGTACTGTGTTAGTAGCTGGCTAGAAGGTTGTGTACTGTGCTAGTAGCTGGCTAGAAGGTTGTGCACTGTGCTAGTAGCTGGTTAGAAGATAGTGTACTGTGCTAGTAACTGGCTAGAAGGTTGTGTACTATGCTAGTAGTTGGCTAGAAGGTTGTGTTTTATGCTAGTAGTTGGCTAGAAGGTAAACTACTGTGCTAGTAGCTGGCTAGAAGGTAGTGGCTGTTGAGCTAGTAGCTGGCAAGAAGGCAGACTACTGTGCTAGTAGCTGGCTATAAGGTAAACTACTGTGCTAGTAGCTGGTTAGAAGGCAATCTATTTTAATATTAGCTGGCTAGAAGGTAAACTACTGTGCTAGCAGATGACTATAAGGTAGAGAGTAACCTACAATTCCGTGGCTAGAATAATTCACAACTAACCTACAATTCCGTGACTAGACGCCACAGCGGCGTCATTTTCAGAGAAACTGGTGCACTGTTTTGCATCTCCTGGACCACCGACCGTAGGACCCAAATGTCTTCCAGACTTCCTTCCTCGAATTGTTGGTTAGTTGTGAATTGTTGTAGCCATGGTATTGTAGGCTATGAATTGTTGTAGTCATGGTATTGTAGGCTATGAATTGTTGTAGCCATGGTATTGTAGGCTATGAATTGTTGTAGTCGTGGTATTGTAGGCTATGAATTGTTGTAGTCATGGTATTGTTGGCTGTAGAATTGTGTAGCCCCGGTATTGCAGCTGGGCTAGTAAAGAGCTAGCTGGTGAACTAAAGGGGTAGATGGGTTAGAAAAGAGCTAGCCGGGCAAGTAATGAGATAACTGGGCTAGTAAAGAGCTAGCTGGGTTAGTAAAAAGTTAGCCTGGCTAGTAAAGACCTAGCTGGGCTTGTAAATTGCTAGTCAGGCTAGTAAAGAGCAGGCTAGTAGTGCTTCTCGTGGGGTTGAAGTTTAACAGCCACTTCACTAGCCTTCCACAGTTGCTGGGCTAGACGCTTCTGCTGGGCTAGTTGAGACGGCTCAGCTTCCTGGAATCAAGAGCATAGATCATTAATTACTCTCATTATTAATGATTAACGAGTAGATATTATGTAATTTAGGTAATGAGACTCTTATTACCCCTTCACTCATTCCTTTCCTCCTACCTTCATTATCCCCATCACTCCTTCCCTCCATCCTTCCCCCAGTCCCTTCATCCTTCCTCCTTCCCTCCCTCCCTCCCTCCCTCCTTCTACATACCTTGCAGTCTACGTAGTATCGTCCGCTCACTCCATCTACTTCCTCCGCCACAGCTAGATAGATGGAAGTTTGGGCTCCTAACTCCGAATCCTAGAATATGTGATAAACATAGATGGAGAACATGGAGGGATAGGTAGATAGGAAATAGGCTGAGATAGGTAGCATTTACAGCAGATATTCTATTATTTACACATTTACACCCAACAAATTATATTGACACCCACTGTTATATATTTACACTCACTATACGAAGGATGATGTTTACAAATTAGACACATGTGCAACACTTGGGTATCTTTAATGAGGAAACGTTTCGCCACACAGTGACATCATCAGTTCGATACAGAGAAGACTGAGGTAATCAGTTCTGTAAATATGACTTATCTCCACGTGTGGATTTACCCAAGGTGACACCGTCTACCACTGCTTCACCTGTACACAGTGTATAAGCCACTTCTTCACGCATATAAGAACAAAAGAATGGAGGAAAATTGCAGTGGGCCTACTGGCCCATATTATTCAGGTTCTTCTCAAACCCACACCCACTAAACAAAAATATGTGCTCAACCCATATGCTGTATTATCACGACTGATGGACTGACGACCGATTGAGGTAATCACTCCATCCAGGCTAAGGGACTGATAACCTCAATCTCCTGATCTTCGCTGTTCTTCTTTGTATTGGACTGATGAAGCCACTGTGTGTCGAAACGTTTCCTCAGTAAAGATACCCAAGTGTTGTACATGTGTCTAATTTATCAACTTGTCGGTTCTCTGAGCCATTTGTCTACACTTATTGTATTTATTTACACTTGCTGTATAAACACTGATGTTTAGGTTAAACATTTTAAATCCACTTAAGATTTTACACTAAATATTTCCATTTAAATCTAGGATAATGGGGTGGAAAATAAATCCATGGAAATGGGGTGGAAAATAACTCAGTGGTAATGGGGGTGGGAAAATGTGTGGTAATTGGGGCGAAAATCTATGGTAATGGGGGGCGAAAATCTACGGTAATGGGGGGTCGAAAATATGTGGTGGAAAATCTAAGGGAAATGGTTGCATACCTTGCAGACAGTGAAGAAAATCTTGAAGACACAATATCGGAGGTTAATGGGTTGACTGTCCAATATCTCGGTGTGGACGACCCCGGGGTGAAGACTGTTGGCTGTCACCTCTGTGGGTGGTACGAGACAATCAGCTGTGAGAGGTCACTTATAATTGTAACCTTATTTTTTAAAGGGGTGGAGGGGTAAGCCAGCGGAAGGCCTCGGTCAGATGACCAGAAATTCCAGTGGCAGGTCATCATGTGACTAACACCCCGATCAGGAAACACTTGTCCTGTTTTCTGACGGATCTTTACCTAACCTGTGAGGGATCGGTCAGTGAAGTGTGTGAGGTTGAAGGCTCGATCCTCCGTGTGGCTCGCCACACGAAGTCAGGTCAGGACGTGGCCTGCCACACGAGGTCAGGTCAGGACGTGGCCTACCACACGAGGTCAGGTCATGATAACCCTTGTTTTTCTTGCTTCATAATAAAGTGGGCGATGGTTCCTGCCAGTAAAAAAAAACACAAACGTAAGCAATTCCCCCTATTCCTAAACGTTTCGCCTAGACAGTAGGCTAGCTTTCAGTCGAATACAGAGGAGGCAGCAGAAGCAGTGGACGTGTAAAAACAACGTAATAAGTCCCTCACCTTCGAAGTGGGTCAGTAGCAGTGGGACTCCGTGCTCTGCTAAGAACGAAATCACGGTAGAGGCATTCGGTATCCCTTGTGGGGAATGCGATAGTCTGTACATGGGATAAACATCCAGAAATTTGGATATCCGTTTACAGGAACACGGATAACCTAGTAGGAACGACCACACACTGAAGGCTTGTGTGGTACACAGAAATACACATGCACAAAATTCGTGTATGGTACACAATATGTGGCACACGGAGTGTGTGTGTGTGGTAAACACAATGTGTGTGGTACACAGAATGTTATAAACCTGGGAATAAGTACCGATAACTTAGTTTAGAAAGATACGTAAGTAAACACCAGAATATATTTATTAGAAAACGTTTTCTAATATGTCCTAGTGAGTACACAGAATGAGTGTGTGTTTAGTACACAGAATGTGTGGTACACAGAAAGCATGTGTGTATGGTACACATAATGTGTTTGGTACACAGAATGTGTATTGTGTAACACAGAATGTGTGTGATACATCTTGGAATGTTAATACAGGGAATTCTTCACGTACCTAACCTTCAGGCATGACCTACTTCCACATTTGGATTTGTCAAGTGTGATACCACCTACGACTGCTGCACCTCACCTGTCTACAGTATATAAGCCACTTCTTCGCACATATGCTGTATTCTTTTCAAGATTGATGGATTGATTACAAGGCTAAGGGACTGATTACCTCAACCCCCTTCCTGTTCTTCACCATTCTCCTTTATATGGACTGATGAAGACACTTTGTGGCGAAACGCTTCCTCAATAAAGAGACCCAAGAATTGCACATGTGTCTAATTTATCAACTTGCCGGTTCTCTGAACCATTTATCAACAATATAGAATGTGTGGTACTCAGAATGTGTGGTACTCAGAGTGTGTGGTACTCAGAATGTGTGGTACTCAGAATGTGTGGTACTCAGAATGTGTGGTACTCAGAATGTGTGGTACTCAGAATGAGTGGTACTCAGAATGTGTGGTACTCAGAATGAGTGGTACTCAGAATGTGTTTGCACTCAGAATGAGTAGTACTCAGAATGTGTGGTACTCAGAATGTGTGGTACTTAGAATGTGTGGTACACAGAATGCGTGGTACACAGAATGTGTGTGGTACTCAGAATGTGTGGTATTCAGAATGTGTGGTACACAGAATGTGTGTGGTACTCAGAATGTGTGGTACACAGAATGTGTGTGGTACTCAGAATGTGTGGTACTCAGAATGTGTGGTACACAGAATATGTGTGGTACTCAGAATGTGTGGTAAACAGAATGTGTGGTAAACAGAATGTGTGGTACACAGACTGTGTGGTACTCAGAATGTGTGGTACTCAGAATGTGTGGTACTCAGAATGTGTGGTACTCAGAATGTGTGGTACTCAGAATGTGTGGTAAACAGAATGTGTGGTACTCAGAATGTGTGGTACTCAGAATGTGTGGTACTCAGAATGTGTGGTAAACAGAATGTGTGGTACACAGAATGTGTGGTACTCAGAATGTGTGGTACTCAGAATGTGTGGTACTCAGAATGTGTAGTACTCAGAATGTGTGATAAAGAGAATGTGTGGTACACAGAATACGTGTGATACACAGATGAAACATGTGCTGTACTCACATTTCACGTACTATAAACCAGTCCACCTCTTAAACCAGCTGCTACACTATCCAAAACCATCACACGGAACACAGATAAACACGTTTTAACAAAACCCATTGTTAGAAACTATCGTAAAACAATATGAAAAACGCAGATGGCCAGGACCTAAGCTAGTGATTCACCGGCCACGACCTGACCGGACATGACTTCAACGTTGTGTAGCTTTAAAAGTAAGTCAGACAAATGCATGAGTTGGTGTGAGTTGGACTTGACTGGCTTGGGTCATTAGGTCTGATGCATTGCTCCTTCTTTCTTATGTTCTTATGACCTCAAACATTAAAGATACTCAGTTGTTTCACATGTTCTGATGACCTGACAGATGACCTCACCTACACCAGAGGTGACCTCTCGACTTTAACTTCGCCCAACACCACACACCACCCACCACTTCTCAGCACTATATATAGGTGGCTGTTCGAGGTGTTCCTTCCCAGGGCAAGTCTTCTGTACAAGATATCAAGAATGGATGATGCCAAGACACTCCCTCAACGAAGAGACAACCCCGGCCACCTCAGGGACAACACCCAGGGTCAGGACTACCCTGGTGAATCATACTGGAGCTGGATGTTTCTTATGTCTAATAAACGCCTCACGAGGGTGAAACGTAGCAGTAGTAAAGCTTTATATATATGAAAATTTGATTAATTAAGACCCCCTTGTTATTTGTGTGTTCCTTTTCTACCTTGGCTAATTAATAATAATAATAAAGACACATATACAACACCTGGGTATCATTATCGCCTGTACAATAGGCTTCTTCAGCCTAATACTGAAGACAGCGGTAGTAGTTGCAGCTCTGAGGAGATCAGTCCCTAGCGTTGGTAGGTGGTGGTTAGTTCCTCAAGCAAAGGCATACGGTCAGAACTTATTAACAGGAAACGAGGTGAAGCAGCTGGAGGTGATGTCACAAGTGAGCGGGGCCCACTAGTAGAAGTAGGTCATGCTGAACAGTGGTTCAACAAAGGAGTTGTGGAAGACACATTGTACCAAGATACCATGGTGTTGCTGCTTCAGCAACTGAGGGATTAATCACCCCAAACTACTTCTACACCCTGTCTCTAATGTTATTATATTCGACTGAAGAAACTTATTGCGCAGGCGAAACGATTCTTGGAGAGTCAAGTATTAAAACATAGGAAAGAGCAGTTACCTGAGTCTGACAGCTTGGCAGCCAGCTCCTGGGTGAACAGCACGTTGCACAGCTTGCTCTGTTCGTAAGCTGTTATTCCGTCGTACTTGTCGTGTTCGAAGTTCAACGAGTCTGGATCCAGCTTCTTGGGCGCCGTGTGTGCTACGGACGACACGTTGATCACCCGGCAAGGAGCACTTCTCTTCAGCAGCCCTGGTTAAAGGAACAGCAACTGTAGCAGTTAGCAGCAGCCTCAAACAGCATCAGAAAGAGCAGTTTCAAACAACAACAGAAGGAGCAGCCTCAAACAGCAACAGAAGGAGCAGCCTCAAACAGCAACAGAAGGAGCAGCCTCAAACAGCAACAGAAGGAGCAGCCTCAAACAGCAGCAGAAGGAGCAGCCTTTAAACAGCAACAGAAGGAGCAGCCTCAAACAGCAACAGAAGGAGCAGCCTCAAACAGCAGCAGAAGGAGCAGCCTCAAACAGCAACAGAAGGAGCAGCCTCAAACAGCAACAGAAGGAGCAGCCTCAAACAGCAACAGAAGGAGCAGCCTCAAACAGCAACAGAAGGAGCAGCCTCAAACAGCAACAGAAGGAGCAGCCTCAAACAGCAACAGAAGGAGCAGCCTCAAACAGCAACAGAAGGAGCAGCCTCAAACAGCAACAGAAGGAGCAGCCTCAAACAGCAGCAGAAGGAGCAGCCTCAAACAGCAACAGAAGGAGCAGCCTCAAACAGAAAACAGAAGGAGCAGCCTCAAACAGCAACAAAAGGAGCAGCCTCAAACAGCAACAGAAGAGCAGCCTCAAACAGCAACAGAAGGAGCAGCCTCAAACGAAACCCAGAAGGAGCAGCCTAAAAACAGCAGCAGAATGAGCAGGCCTCAAACAGCAACAGAAGGAGCAGCCTCAAACAGCAACAGAAGGAGCAGCCTCAAAAAGCAGCAGCAACAGAAGGAGCAGCCTCAAACAGCAGCAGCAACAGTCTCATTAACAATCACTCAACTTGTCGGTATTTATTACCAAGGTTTATACCAACAACATTATTATCATTATAAACATAACTAAGCGCTAAACCCACAAGGGTCATACAGCCCTGCACTCAATAACAACAGCAGCAGCCAGAATATTAACAGCAACAACAACAGCAGCAAAAATAACAGCAGATTAAACTAATTGTTAGTGACTAAATATTATTATTATTATTATTATTATTATTATTATTATTATTATTATTATTATTATTATTACTACTACTACTACTACTACTACTACTACTACTACTACTACTACTACTACTACTACTACTACTACTACTACTACTACTACTACTACTACTACTTCTTCTTCTACTGTATGTGCATCATTAAGACTGGCATAGAGAAAGCAGGAATGCATAAGACATAAAGAATTATGCAGGGAGAGTGAGGAGGAGGGCGAGGAAGAGACGAGTAATGAAGAGGAGAAACATGAAGATTATTAATAGGAGAAAGAGAAGGAAATGAGACTAGAGGAGGTTTGTGAGGGGAGGAGGAGAAGGTGAGAGTGAGGAAGAGGACCTACCTAGGAAGAGGACCTACCTAGAAGGAAGACCCACCTAGAAGGAAGACCCACCTAGGAGGAGGACCTACCTAGGAGGAGGTTGGTGAGGAGGAAGTGACCGAAGTGGTTGGTCACCATGGTCAGTTCTAATCCATCTTCGGTCAGCTGCTTCTCCTTCGGTCCCAGGATACCAGCGTTGTTGATCTGTGAGAGAGAGAGAGAGAGAGAGAGAGAGAGAGAGAGAGAGAGAGAGAGAGAGAGAGAGAGAGAGAGAGAGAGAGAGAGAGAGAGAGAGAGAGAGCGAGAGAGAGAGAATACGAATTAGGATTGGAATATTAGATTTTGTCGCCGAAGTGGAGAATATATAGTGCACCCATATCCATCCTATGGAGGGTAGCACAAGAACATATGGATACACAATAGGCCCCCAAAAAACGGTTAACAAGAGTACATCTGGATTTAAATCTACAATTTATATTATCTGTTTCCTTAGTATATCTGGTTTTTGCTTTTATTAATAAGATACCTTGATATATCACATAGGTTATTACACTGTCTACCTGTGTATTCCTTAATGAATCGACCATAAGACTGACCACATACTTTGCATTTAATTTGATCATCTGTGTGTCTGCCAAACTGCCAGAAGTACTTGTAACTAAGCATAAGCCTTGCTACTATAACATTAGTCAGTCTGTTCACACAGTAAGTTGCTACGTAGAAATGCTTATTTGCGTTCATGTTATCACTGTGAGTGATAACTAAATCAGCTGCATACCTCTGACAATACAGATTAAATATCTACCGCACTTCTCTCCTGATATTGCTCCCTGTTGTAAACACAGATATACCAATGTTATATTATATGTTTTTTTTTCAGGGTACTCTTTATATTAGCTAATTTATCGATTTTGTTATGAAAGGGTAATTCAGTGTGTGATACAATTCGTAAGATTTTTTTTTAAATTTCCCGTCTTCTGTTTTTTGAGCTTGAGTTCCTGGCTTCTCCAATCAGCATGTTGTTAAGAGTCATCATGAGCCTTCAATGATGACATAGAATCAGTAATAATCATAGAGTCAAGATCAGTGTCGTAAGTTAACCTCGGCGTCAATAGGATGGCAAACAATTCAGTTTACAGTGTCGACGCCCAGGTGTTAATTCTAAGGACTAACTCAACGCTGCTTCTAGCACGAGTACAGTACATGAGAGAGACGTGTATGAGAGAGACAGAGGGTAGTTACGCCTGTTCTTACCGAAGCTGTACATCCGTGTGTGTGGGGGGGGGGAGGTTGAATAAGGAGGCTCGTTCAAGGCAGGGAGTTACGCAAGCTAGATCCTCCATCTGCTCAATCGCCAAGACAAACTCAACGATCGTGACGACCCCTGATCAATTTTCTTTCTGGCCATTGACTTGACCCTTGCCTTCTCATGACATTATGCCATTAGCAACCATTATCTGTCATTATCAATCATTATCTGCCATCATCTGCAGACTAATATTCCTCAGTGCCTCTGCTCTGATAACATCGTTGGTCTTGACAAGAAGTCCAGCTACGACCTCACAAGGGGAACACTGCCTTGATGCTGGTGTAGGGCTCTTGATCCTCAGAGTTGGAGCTACACACTTTCCCCTTTCCCCCCCTTTCTCTTAATACATCGGTAGTCTCCCACCCACGTTGAGTGACTCGAGGAAAAACGAAACAGTTTCACTATCATTCGCTCAATGACTGTCACTCATCTCTCCTACTCCGCAGGCAAGTGAATGAGCCTTACGGGTTTAGCACCTCACTCATGAATGCAACATCAACAACAATCACAACAACAACTGCTACTACAACAATTACTAAAATTTCTACTACAAGAACTACAGCTACAAAAACTACGACAGCTACAACAATTATAACAAGTATAACTATTATAACTACAACAACAACTACAACTAAAACAACATCTCTCTCCCTCCTTCCATCCCTCCTTATCCTTCTCTCCCTTCCTCCCTCCATCCCTCTCTCCCTTCATTCGGCCCTCTCTCTCTCTCTCTCTCTCCCTTCCTCCCTCCATCCAAGACCTACCAAGATATGGATGGCAGTCTCTGTCTGGAGTATCTGCTCGGCGAACTTCCTGACGGAGGTGAGGTCGGAGGTATCCAGATGTCGCACGACCACCTCCCCGACGCTACCTGGAGACTCTCTGATCTCCGCTGACGATGCAACAGAAGGAAGAGTTACTTGTGATTGTTGACCACACTCAAATGTAGCTGAATTCTGAGTATATGACAATATAACGTCTCTCTCACTCACCTGCCACTTTATTTGCCTTTTCCAGGTTCCTACAAGCAAGGATCACCCTCGCTCCTCGACGCACCAGGTCCTTGGCTGTGTACTTCCCAATACCTGCAGACAGGCAGAACTTTAGCAGCAGCAGCTAACTTTACTGCTTCTCGCAGCAACTTAGTATAACCCAAGAGTATGTATAATGTTGTACTTAATAAATCAAACTTGACCAATACACCGAATTTCTTTAAAAACTGGAGTTTTCCCCCCAAATTTTTTATACAGATTGATAGATATATTTTTTCATTAAAATTAATATTGAATCAAAACTATCTTATAAACCTAACTTAACCTAACTTAAAACTAACGATTTTTTAACAAAATTCTGTATATATCATAGGTCAATTTAAAGTTATTAAAAATTACTTAAAATTAATTATCTTTTATTAACACATCGGCCGTCTCCCACCAAGGCGGGGTGACCCGAATATATATATATATATATATATATATATATATATATATATAATATATATATATATAATATATATATGTCGTGCCGAATAGGCAGAACTTGCGATAATGGCTTAAGTAGCAACGCTCATCTTGCCATATAGGACAAGCGAAAATTTGTGTATGCAATAATTTCGCCAAAATCATTCTGAACCTAACGAAAAAAATATATTTCACTGTGTTTGTTTAGTATTAAATTACTATAAACAAATCTAAAATATATTTAGTTGGGTTAGGCTAAAATAAATTGTTCTTGTTATAATAAGGTTAGGTAAGTTTTCTAAGATTCGTTTGGAGCAAAATTAAAAATTTTTACATTAACATTAATGAAAAAATATATTTTTAAACGTATAAGAGAAAATTTTAGAAAGGGCTTAATTTTAAATGAGTTCTTGCTAATTGACCAGTTTTACATATTCGGCACGACATATATATATATATATATATATATATATATATATATATATATATATATATATATATATATATATATATATATATATATATATATATATATATATACATACATTTTTTTTTTCAACAAGTCGGCCGTCTCCCACCGAGGCAGGGTGACCCAAAAAAGAAAGAAAATCCCCAAAAAGAAAATACTTTCATCATCATTCAACACTTTCACCACACTCACACATTATCACTGTTTTTGCAGAGGTGCTCAGAATACAACAGTTTAGAAGCATATACGTATAAAGATACACGACATATATATATATATATATATATATATATATATATATATATATATATATATATATATATATATATATATATATATATATATATATATATATATATTGTGGTGATGTTCAGATTGATTTTCGCAGTGTTTTGGAATTTTTTCACTCTGCTTATTCAGCAGAAAACTCCCTTGCATATTAGGTCTAACTCGCCTGTTTGGCTTACTCGGCACGATTATACAACAGTGAGATGTGGCACTGACGTACAACAGTGAGGTGTGGCACTAACCTACAGCAGTTGGATATGGCACTGACCTGCACTGCCACCAGTGATAATTGCAGTTTTGCCCACCAGTGACCTCTGGGAGTGGCACCGGCCGGAAGTGACCCTGAAGTAGACCCTTAGAGCCAACGCCAGTGCCAGCAGTGCCACCAGTGCCTCCAACAACATGCTGCTCTGCTGCTGCTGCTGCTGCTGGTACTGCTGTGGAAGCACGCTACTCTGCTGATGGGAAATAACTCATTACTCTAATGGTGGGGAGATAACTCACTCACAACTCTGCTGGTAGGGAGATAAACTACTCTGCTGTTTGGGAGATAACTCACTCACTACCCTGCTGTGGTGGGGAGAAAACTTACTACTCTGCTGGTGGGAAGAAAACTCACTCAATACTCTGCTGATGGGGAGATACTCACTACCCAGTTGGTAGGGAGATAACTCACTACCCAGTTGGTAGGGAGATAACTCACTACCCAGTTGGTAGGGAGATAACTCACTACCCAGTTGGTAGGGAGATAACTCACTACCCAGTTGGCAGGGAGATAACTCACTACCCAGTTGGCAGGGAGATAACTCACTACCCAGCTGGTAGGGAGATAACTCACTACCCAGCTGGTAGGGAGATAACTCACTACCCAGTTGGTAGGGAGATAACTCACTACCCAGCTGGTAGGGAGATAACTCACTACCCAGCTGGTAGGGAGATAACTCACTACCCAGCTGGTAGGGAGATAACTCACTACCCAGCTGGTAGGGAGATAACTCACTACCCAGCTGGTAGGGAGATAACTCACTACCCAGCTGGTAGGGAGATAACTCACTACCCAGTTGGCAGGGAGATAACTCACTACCCAGTTGGCAGGGAGATAACTCACTACCCAGTTGGTAGGGAGATAACTCACTACCCAGTTGGTAGGGAGATAACTCACTACCCAGCTGGTAGGGACATAACTCACTACCCAGCTGGTAGGGAGATAACTCACTACCCAGTTGGCAGGGAGATAACTCACTACCCAGTTGGCAGGGAGATAACTCACTACCCAGTTGGCAGGGAGATAACTCACTACCCAGTAGGCAGGGAGATAACTCACTACCCAGTTGGCAGGGAGATAACTCAAACAATCACTTTACAATTTACACTCATCAAAATTATACCAATAAACAAAATCTTCAAAAAATAAGCAAATAACACTGGTCTGCATTTGGGATGTTTTTATTTTTTATTTTTATTCAAGTTTGCGATCTTACATATTCTTGAGCTGCTGATTATAAATATCTAAACCATTTTGCTCTATCACGTAAAGATTTTGAATAAAATGCAAATTAATGATAAAAAATGTGAATTTTCAATAAATTTTTAATATTAAAATTAGGCAAGTAATCATGGAAAAGCAGATTCTGTTAGTTTTAAGAATATATGCATTACAAATCAACATGAATCAATTCAAATGATTTTATTAAAAAAAATATGCTCCTAATGGTTAGCTTACATATTGAATCAAAGGAAGGAGGACCACTTTGATTTTCACTTGTGCTGTGCATCGAGACCATTACGTTTCAATGACCAGCAATAATCTGCCATCATAATTTGCCCTGGTATCGAGTTTCCATGGTGCAAATATCCTGATGGAACCTCTGTCCTTGTTCCTCACTGTAGTTCCCACAATTGTTGGGAAAATAGTCAAGATGTGAGTGCAAAAAGTGCATCTTTACACTCATTCTAGACCCAAGTTGTTGGAAACTTGAAATCAAGTCTTGGATCATTTTTTTCATATTCAGGGGAGCGCCTGTTTCCCAGGAAGTTGTGAACAATCTGCTTGAATGAAAACCAGACATTCACCTCGACACCTGCTAATGCTTCATCAAAATGCTTGTCCTTCATCAATTCCCGAATCTGAGGGCCAACAAAGATTCCTGCCTTTAGCTTGCCTTCACTTATACCAGGAAACTTTGACTCCAGGTACTTGAAAGCAGTTCCATTCTTGTTCAAAGCCTTCACAAATTTTTTCATAAGTCCTAATTTGATATGCAGTGGTGGCAGCAGAATTTTCTTGGGGTCAACTAGTGGCACAGATTTCACGTAGATTCCCGGGTAAGAAGCTGGTTCTTGGTGGCCAGTCTTTTTGTTCATAGTGCTGGTTGTCTGCCCTACTGTCCCGAGACACAGAAAATAGGGATACTTGGTTTATCAGCCTTGAAGACCTAGTAGGAAAGCAATAACTTTTAAGTCACCACAAATGACAAAATTGTGATTCTGGTACTTGACTGCAGATATTAGTCTCTTCATATTTGCGTAAGTTTCTGGCATTTGGACACTATGGCCAACTGGCACAGATGCAGCTGTGTTGACATTGTAGAGAAGTACAGCCTTTAAACTTCTGTTAGAAGAGTCAATGAAGAGTCTCCATTCACCTGCTTTGTACGACATCCCCATGTGTTCAATAAGGCCAGAAATATTTGAACAGAAAACTAAAGATTCCTAAATAACAAAAAAGGCACAATACCGTGACTGGAACAATACACAAATAACCTGCACGTAGAGATGAGCTTACGACGACGTTTCGGTTCGACTTGGACCATTTACAAAGTCACACTAACGAAAAGGAGAGGAGGGAGTATATATAGGCAGGAGGTGGTAGTGGTAGTAGTGGAGGTAGAATGTAGTAGTAGGGAAGGTAGTATGGTGGAGGTGGAGTCAGTCAAATACTAAGACAGAGGAGCACTGAAAGGGAGCTAGGTGCCCACAGAGAGTAGGAGCAAGAGCACAGAGGGGGGAAAAACAAATAATGAAAGAACAAATACCCAAGGCAGAAGAAAGACAACCCAAAGGAGAAAGAGGAAAGAGGAGAGGGGAAGAGGAAGAAGAAGAAAAAGGAATCAGGTTAAGTCACGGGTGTTCTGAAGTTCGGAGTATTTTACAGTGTAGTGGGAGAGGAAGGCAGCTACAGAGACGAAGCCAGGACTAAGATTCATACAAGGAAAGTTGTGTATAAGGAAGGATTCAACTAGACGGCGACTGTTAAAGTTGGAAGTAAGTATGACTGTGATCTCTGATGTGACAGAATAGAGCATTGTTAGTGTCGGAAAGCCTAACACTACTTTTGTGCTCCCTAAGTCTGTCAGAAAGAGATCGGCCAGTTTCTCCAAAGTACTGAAGAGGGCAGGAGGAGCAAGAAATAGAGTAGACACCAGGAGCATCTGTAGAGGGAGGAGAGGTATGAACGAGATTAGTGCGAAGAGTGTTAGTCTGGCAGAAAGTAAGTTTGATGTCTAAGGAACGAAGAGAGTTCTTGAGAGTTGTTAGATTTATGCTGATGCTCTTAACAACTTTGTCCCTTCCATTAAGTTTAAAGCTAAATGGGAATCTAATTCCTTGCTTCCTTTTCTTGATGTTCATGTCCACCGCTCAGATACAGTCTCAAAACTCCAGCCCGTCGCGTTAGCCACTAGACCAGCTAGCCACAATAAGATTCATCCAACTAGGTATATTTCTACACCATAGGAAAGTTAGCACAGGCACCTCGGGCTGGAGTTTTGAGACTCTATGACCGCGGGTTCAATCCCGGCCGGGGGTATGGCTCAGATACAGGTTTTGCCTTTTCCGTTTACCGCAAGCCTATGCACAGTGGCATGTACATTCACTACTTTTCTTATCATGCTTCCTCTGTCAAGAAAAGTGTTCTTATCTCCCTCTTTCTCCGTGCTCTCCGCATATGTGATCCCCAGTTCCTTCAATCAGAAATTTCCACTCTTCATAATTCATTTTCCAGTCTTGGCTACCCTTCAGATTTCATAGACTCTGCCTTCTCAAGTCCTAAACGTAATTTCCTCTCCCTGACCCTCACCTATCCCTTATCTATCCCTTACCTATCCCTCAACTATCCCTCATCTATCACTCACCTATCCCTCAGCTAGCGCCATGTGCATCAGTATGAAATCCTCTTGTCGTTATCTATTTTTAACTATTTTCAGTTTCTGAGGCCAAGACCTATAGCTCTTGGTCTTGCCTCTCAGCTAGAAATAGTCTCATCATGCCTCTTTCTAAAGCCTTGTAAGGAAATTTGCTTTGTGTATGTTATTGTTCAGTTCTGCAAATGTCTTCAGTTTTGAACTTCTGTGTGTGTGTGTGTGTGTGTGTGTGTGTGTGTGTGTGTGTGTGTGTGCGTGCGTACTCCCCATTTGCACTCACCTAATTGCGGTTGCAGGGGTCGAGACTCAGCTCCTGGCCCCGCCTCTTCGTGGTCCCTACTAGGTCCTCTCTCTCCCTGCTCCATGAGCAATATCATACTTCATCTTAAAACTATGAATGGTTCCAGACATCATAGCAATCACAGAAACGAAACTCACTGAGACAATAACAGGCGCAATCTTCCCACCCGTATATCAGATCCTGAGGAAAGCTATAAGGAGCAGTGGGGGACGAGGGGTTGCACTGCTCATTAAAAACCGATAGGGATTGGAGGAAATGGAAGGAATGGACGAGATTGGAGAAAGGGATTACATAGTAGGTACAACTCAGTCTGGGGAACATAAAGTAGTCATTACAGTGATTTATAACCATCAAAGAATTGCAAGAGGCCAAGAGTCCAGACTTTTCCACTTCCTGACATCTGTATGAAGAAATACTTCCTAACATCCCTTTGACCCATCTGAGTCTTCAACTTCCAATTGTGACCCCTTGTTTCTGTGTCCCATCTCTGGAACATCCTGTCTGTGTCCTCCTTATCTATTCCTTATCTATTCCTGTTTGTCATTATCATGTCTTCCCTAACCCTCCTGTCTTAGTGTCGTCAGGCCGATTTCCTTTAACATTTCTCGTAGGAAAATACCCTTAGCTCTGGAACCAGCCTTGTTGCAAACCTTTGCGCTTTCTCTAATTTCATGGCGTGCTTGACCAAGTGTGCCTTCCAAACTTGTGCTGCATACTCCAGTATGGGCCTGCTGTACACGGTGTACAATCTTGAACGAATCCTTACTGTGTATGTGTGTGTGTGTGTGTGTCTGACTCTTCCCTACAGCCCTGGAACTAAAGCTAATGAGCTGCGGGGAAGTCAGTTGGGTTACAATTGGTGCCTCTGAAAGAATACCAGTACACAAGTACAATTTCCAACTCTTCCCTATTAGAAGCCTGGAAGTTCATGTGGTAGACAGACCTGTTAAACTTGAGACCATAGTTCAAACCTCCACCATCCCCCCTCTATCTTTCTTTATTAATTAACAGTTGATTATTACTAATTAAACTGAGTTCATGTATGTAATATATATATATATATATATATATTATATATATATATATATATATATATATATATATATATATATATATATATATATATTATATATATATATTACATCCACGCACATTTAAACAACCCAGTTTTATTAATAAAGTTTTTCTTTTTCGGGCCACCCTGCCTTGGTGGGAATCGGCCGGTGTGATAATAAAAAAAAAAAAAAAATATATATATATATATATATATATATATATACGTATATATACACGGTATCTTCCTTGGGATTTGGAAGCGGTTATATGCATCACACACAGCAACATAAATAATGTGGGTGGGGTGACTACTAACCAGTTTTTGTGATGGCGACCTGGCGGAGGAATTTGCTTGAACAGCTGATTGCAATGGAATTATTTCACTTTGATCTTTTTTGGGGTTAACCTAGGTAATTTACACATGTATTACTATGTATGATAATTTGTGCAGCTGTATTTATATGTACCTGTACCTAAATCATATTGACTTCTCCGCGCCACGAAGTAATCCTCTGGTTTAAACATGCTTCAAGAAAGCTGACTGTCACTAAAAGAAAACTTTTGCATTTACTGGCAAATTGCACGATGCAGCCAGACAAATATATATACAAACTAGACCACTAAGGTACTTCGGTCAATCTGGCTTAATTGAAATGAGTGCCTTCGCTTGGGGTTGGTTGCATGTAAAAATCAGTTGCTGGAAGCAATCGTAAGAACTGCTTGCAACAAGCAGTTGCAAACAATGGACACATCAGACAAACGTTTGCAGGATGAGAGATGATGCGAGGCAGCTGGTTGCAGTGATGTACAGTAGGAGCACTAGCCAGCTGGCGTCCCTCCAGGCTCTAGACATCCACAAGGAACCCACACAATGTATCACTCACAGCTCCGGAATTCACCAAGAACTTTACCCATCGATGCCACAGTTTTGTTGTGGGTTGTTTGACAAGTTATAAAAAGGTTAAAACAATACTTGTCCTTGCCCTGGGAGGAATATATTGTAGATAATGACTAAGTCTGATGTGCCGTGACCCACCTCTACAAGATCCTGCCTCACACTGAGTCCCCCAAACAGGCGAGGAGGGATTACGAAGCAGCTTAATACTTATGAAGCCTTTTGAATATTCCACTTCCCCTGCCACTCCATCTTTTAATATTATGTATAATATATGCATACATATATATATATATATATATATATATATATATATATATATATATATATATATATATATATATATATATATATATATATATATATATATATATATAAATGTCGTGCCGAATATGTAAAACTGGTCAATTAGCAAGAACTTATTAGAAATTAAGTCCTTTCTGAAATTTTCTCTTATACGTTTAAAGATATATTTTTTCATTAATGTTAATGTAAAATTTTTAATTTTGCACCAAAAGAATCTTAGAAAACATACCTAACCTTATTATAACAAGAACAATTTATTTTAGCCTAACCCAACTAAATATATTTTAGATTTGTTTACAATAATTTAATACTAAACAAATACAATGAGATATATCTTTTCGTTAGGTTCAGAATGATTTTGGCGAAATTATTGCATACACAAATTTTCGCTTGTCCTATATGGCAAGATGAGCGTTGCTATTTAAGCCAAGATCGCAAGTTCTGCCTATTCGGCACGACATATATATATATATATATATATATATATATATATATATATATATATATATATATATATATATATATATATATATATATATAATATATATATATATATATATATATATATATATATATATATATATGTCGTGCCGAATATGTAAAACTGGTCAATTAGCAAGAACTCATTTAAAATTAAGTCCTTTCTAAAATTTTCTCTTATACGTTTAAAGATATATTTTTTTCATTAATGTTGATGTAAAAATTTATAATTTTGCACCAAAAGGAACTTAGAAAACTTACCTAACCTTATTATAACAAGAACAATTTATTTTAGCCTAACCCAACTAAATATATTTTAGATTTGTTTACAATAATTTAGTAGTAAACAAACACAGTGAAATATATTTTTTTCATTAGGCTCAGAATGATTTTAGCGATATTATTGCATAAACAGATTTTCACTTGTCCTATATGGCAAGATGAGCGTTGCTATTTAAGCCAAGATCGCAAGTTCTGCCTATTCGGCACGACATATATATATATATATATATATATATATATATATATATATATATATATATATATATATATATATATATATATATATATATATATATATATATATATATATATATATATATATATATATATACGGGTTTAGCGCTCCCCATGATAATAACCAGGTGCTATAGCTCATGGCCCGACATTAGGATTATATACTGCTTCATAATACAAAGCAATTTGAGGGATAAGTGAAAGACAGGCAACGAGAGATAATTTTATCAACAAGAGCCTTAATCTTATCTACAGCCAGAGACACGAGCACAGGTCTGGAACTCAGCTCAAAGGTCCACCAGCACTCTCCATCACTGCAACACCGATCTCAGAGCTCCAACAGCACTCTCCATCACTGCAACACCGATCTCCCAGCACCACCAGCACTCTCCGTCACTGCAACACCGATCTCAGAGCTCCACCAGCACTCTCCATCACTGCAACACCGATCTCAGAGCTCCACCAGCACTCTCCATCACTGCAACACTGATCTCTGAGCTCCACCAGCACTCTCCATCACAGCAACACCGATCTCAGAGCTCCACCAGCACTCTCCGTCACAGCAACACTCTGGAAGTCTCAATTTCCTGCAGTTAATTAGCAATTAAATTAAAGGTTGGTCACTTAGTTAATTGGGGTTAATACCTACTGACTACACGAGGGTCATTAAGCCAATTAAAGATACCCTACTCCCTAATATAATAATTAAAATCATCTCTCAGTGTATATACACTGATTTAAACCACTAAGTATATAATCTAGTTAAGTAAAGTGTGAGCAAAACTAACATGAAGATTCCCTAGTGCTGCTCTATGGTGTTAGAAGTGCTGATAAGGGCAGATTGTAAATATTTAGATTTTGACTTGTTCTTTGACAGCTGGTTAAGCATGTGTCCCATGCAAGATGTGTGTGTCTGTGTCTTCATATATAACACATGTATCACACATAGCTGTTTGACACAGGCATGTGTCACGGGATAATGATTTCTGGGAAGAGTATTAAGATAACTATCTGAAGCTGATTAAAAATCTATAATTTCCTAAGGTATAATTTGCTTATTTTTTGAGGAATTCGTTTGTTGGTATAATATTATTGAGTGTAAATTATAAATTGATTGTTTGAGTTTTCTCCCCACCAGCAGAGTAGTGTGTTATCTCCCCCACCAGAAGACTAGTATATTATATCCCCTATCAGTAAATTAGTGTGTTATCTTCCCTCCAGCAGAGTAATGAGTGAGTTATCTCCTCACCAGCAGAGTAGTTAGTAAGTTATCTCCCCACCAGCAGAGTAGTTAATTAGTTATTTCCCCACCAGCAGAGTAGTTAGTAAGTTATCTCCCCACCAGCAGAGTAGTTAATGAGATATCTCCCCACCAGCAGAGTAGTGAGTGAGTTTTCTCCCCACCAGCAGGGTAGCGTGTTTCTATTGCAGCAGCAACAGCAGAGAGCAGAATGTTGTTGGAGGTACTAGCGGCACTGGTGGCACTGGTGTTGACTCTACGGGTCTACTACAGGGTTATTTCCGGTCGGTGCCACTCCAAGACGTCACTTATTGGCAAAACTGCAATTATCACTGGTGGCAGTGCAGGTCAGTGCCACATCACATTATTGTAGGTGAGTGCCACATCTCACTGTTGTAGGTCAGTGCCACATCTCACTGTTGTAGGTCAGTGCCACGTCTCATTGTTGTAGGTCAGTGCCACATCTCACTGCTGTAGGTTAGTGCCACATCTCACTGCTCTAGGTCAGTGCCACATCTCACTATTGTAGGTCAGTGCCACGTCTCACTGCTGTAGGTCAGTGCCACATCTCACTGCTGTAGGTCAGTGCCACATTTTACTGCTGTAGATTAGTGCCACATCTCACTGCTGTAGGTCAGTGCCACATCTCACTGCTGTAGGTCAGTGCCACATCTCACTGCTGTAGGTCAGTGCCACATCTCACTGCCTTCCTCTTAATCTTTTATTTTCATAGTTCCTTGATAATGTGAGAAATCACAAAAGCTATTGGAATTTCACTAATTTTTCACGGTACTTATTCTGCACACACACACACACACACACACAGGCACATCTCCTGAAGCGCACATCAACCAAATAACTGCTGCAGCATATGGGCGCCTAGCAAACCTCAGAACAGCATTTCGACATCTTAATAAGGAATCGTTCAGGACCCTGTACACCGTGTATGTTAGGCCCATATTGGAGTATGCGGCACCAGTTTGGAACCCATACCTAGCCAAGCACGTGAAGAAACTAGAGAAAGTGCAAAGGTTTGCAACAAGACTAGTCCCAGAACTAAGAGGTATGTCCTACGAGGAGAGGTTAAGGGAAATCAACCTGACGACACTGGAGGACAGGAGAGATAGGGGGAACATGATAACGACATACAAAGTACTGAGAGGAATTGACAAGGTGGACAAAGACAGGATGTTCCAGAGATTGGACACAGTAACAAGGGGACACAGTTGGAAGCTGAAGACACAGATGAATCACAGGGATGTTAGGAAGTATTTCTTCAGCCACAGACTAGTCAGTAAGTGGAATAGTTTGGGAAGCGATGTAGTGGAGGCAGGATCCATACATAGCTTTAAGCAGAGGTATGATAAAGCTCACGGCTCAGGGAGAGTGACCTAGTAGCGATCAGTGAAGAGGCGGGGCCAGGAGCTCGGACTCGACCCCCGCAACCTCAACTAGGTGAGTACACACACACACACACACACACACACACACACACATACACACGGAGGACCAAGCAGGGATAACAGGGAAGGCACTACAATGGATCAGGGAATACTTGTCAGGAAGACAACAGCGAGTCATGGTACGTGGCGAGGTGTCAGAGTGGGCGCCTGTGACCAGCGGGGTCCCACAGGGGTCAGTCCTAGGACCAGTGCTGTTTCTGGTATTTGTGAATGACATGACGGAAGGAATAGAATCCTAAATGGCAGAACTTCAAAGGGATCTGGACAGGCTGCAGACCTGGTCCAGCAATTGGCTCCTGGAGTTCAACCCCACCAAGTGCAAAGTCATGAAGATTGGGGAAGGGCAAAGAAGACACCAGACGGAGTACAGTCTAGGGGGGCCAGAGACTACAAACCTCACTCAAGGAAAAAGATCTTGGGGTCTGTATAACACCAGGCACATCTCCTGAAGCGCACATCAACCAAATAACTGCTGCATCATATGGGCGCCTAGCAAACCTCAGAACAGCATTCCGACATCTTAATAAGGAATCGTTCATGACTCTGTACACCGTGTACGTTAGGCCCATATTGGAGTATGAGGCACCAGTTTGGAAGCCACACCTAGCCAAGCACGTAAAGAAACTAGAGAAAGTGAAAAGGTATGTCCTACGAGGAAAGGTTAAGGGAAATCGACCTGACGACACTGGAGGACAGGAGAGATAGGGGGAACATGATAACAACATACAAAATACTGAGAGGAATTGACAAGGTGGACAAAGACAGGATGTTCCAGAGATGGGACACAGCAACAAGGGGACACAGTTGGAAGTTGAAGACACAGATGAATCACAGGGATGTTAGGAAGTATTTCTTCAACCACAGAGTAATCAGGAAGTGGAATAGTTTGGGAAGCTATGTAGTGGAGGCGGGAATCATACATACCTGGAGTATACCTGGAGAGAGTTCCGGGGGTCAACGCCCCCGCGGCCCGGTCTGTCACCAGGCTTCCTGGTGGATCAGAGCCTGATCAACCAGGCTGTTACTGCTGGCTGCACGCAAACCAACGTACGAGCCACAGCCCGGCTGGTCAGGAACCGACTTTAGATGCTTGTCCAGTGCCAGCCTGAAGACTGCCAGGGGTCTGTTGGTAATCCCCCTTATGTATGCTGGGAGGCAGTTGAACAGTCTCGGGCCCCTGACACTTATTGTATGGTCTCTTAACGTGCTAGTGACACCCCTGCTTTTCATTGGGGGGATGTTGCATCGTCTGCCAAGTCTTTTGCTTTCGTAGTGAGTGATTTTCGTGTGCAAGTTCGGTACTAGTCCCTCTAGGATTTTTCAGGTGTATATAATCATGTATCTCTCCCGCCTGCGTTCCAGGGAATAAAGGTTTAGGAACCTCAAGCGCTCCCAGTAATTGAGGTGTTTTATCTCCGTTATGCGCGCCGTGAAGGTTCTCTGTACATTTTCTAGGTCAGCAATTTCACCTGCCTTGAAAGGTGCTGTTAGTGTGCAGCAATATTCCAGCCTAGATAGAACAAGTGACCTGAAGAGTGTCATCATGGGCTTGGCCTCCCTAGTTTTGAAGGTTCTCATTATCCATCCTGTTATTTTTTTAGCAGATGCGATTGATACAATGTTATGGTCCTTGAAGGTGAGATCCTCCGACATGATCACTCCCAGGTCTTTGACGTTGGTGTTTCGCTCTATTTTGTGGCCAGAATTTGTTTTGTACTCTGATGAAGATTTAATTTCCTCGTGTTTACCATATCTGAGTAATTGAAATTTCTCATCGTTGAACTTCATATTGTTTTCTGCAGCCCACTGAAAGATTTGGTTGATGTCCGCCTGGAGCCTTGCAGTGTCTGCAATGGAAGATACTGTCATGCAGATTCGGGTGTCATCTGCAAAGGAAGACACGGTGCTGTGGCTGACATCCTTGTCTATGTCGGATATGAGGATGAGGAACAAGATGGGAGCGAGTACTGTGCCTTGTGGAACAGAGCTTTTCACCGTAGCTGCCTCGGACTTTACTCTGTTGACGACTACTCTCTGTGTTCTGTTAGTGAGGAAATTATAGATCCATCGACCGACTTTTCCTATTATTCCTTTAGCACGCATTTTGTGCGCTATTACGCCATGGTCACACTTGTCGAAGGCTTTTGCAAAGTCTGTATATATTACATCTTCATTTTTTTTGTCTTCTAGTGCATCTAGGACCTTGTCGTAGTGATCTAATAGTTGAGACAGACAGGAGCGACCTGTTCTAAACCCATGTTGCCCTGGGTTGTGTAACTGATGGGTTTCTAGATGGGTGGTGATCTTGCTTCTTAGGACCCTTTCAAAGATTTTTATGATGTGGGATGTTAGTGCTATCGGTCTGTAGTTCTTTGCTGTTGCTTTACTGCCCCCTTTGTGGAGTGGGGCTATGTCTGTTGTTTTTAGTAACTGTGGGACGACCCCCGTGTCCATGCTCCCTCTCCATAGGAGAGTCTGGCCCTGGGGCAGAGTGCATGGGCATGTCATTTATCGCCTGTTCGAAGTCATTTGGCGTCAGAATAACATCGGATAGGCTTGTGTTAACCAAATTCTGTGGCTCTCTCATAAAAAATTCATTTTGATCTTCGACTCTCAGTCTGGTTAGCGGCTTGCTAAAAACTGAGTCATATTGGGACTTGAGTAGCTCACTCATTTCCTTGCTGTCATCTGTGTAGGACCCATCTTGTTTAAGTAGAGGCCCAATACTGGACGTTGTTCTCGACTTTGATTTGGCATAGGAGAAGAAATACTTAGGGTTTCTTTCGATTTCATTTATGGCTTTTAGTTCTTCCCGCGATTCCTGACTCCTGTAAGATTCCTTTAGCTAAGTTCGATGCTTGCTATTTCTCTGACCAGTGTCTCCCTACTCATTTCAGATATATTGACCTCTTTTAGCCGCTCTGTTATTCTTTTCCGTCGCCTGTAAAGGGAGCGCCTGTCTCTTTCTATTTTACATCTACTCCTCCTTTTTCTTAGAGGAATAAGCCTTGTGCATACATCGAGTGCCACCAAGTTAATCTGTTCGAGGCATAAGTTGGGGTCTGTGTTGCTTAGTATATCTTCCCAGCTTATATTGGTTAGGACTTGGTTTACTTGGTCCCACTTTATGTTTTTGTTATTGAAGTTGAATTTGGTGAATGCTCCCTCGTGACTAATCTCATTATGTCGGTCTGGGGCTCCACGCATACATGTCTGAACCTCAATTATGTTGTGATCTGAGTATATTGTTTTTGATATGGTGACATTTCTTATCAGATCATCATTGTTAGTGAAGATGAGGTCTAGTGTATTCTCCAGTCTAGTAGGCTCTATTATTTGCTGGTTTAAATTGAATTTTGTGCAGAGATTTAAAAGCTCGTGTGAGTGTGAGTTTTCATCAGAGCTGCCTCCTGATGTTGGGTGCAGGAGCTGGAAGATTTTCCAGACAGTGGTCAATTTTTAAAAGCTGTTCCTGGAATTGCTGGGATGTTGCATCCGGAGGCTTGTAGACTACCACAATGACTAGGTTTTGGTTCTCGACCTTTACTGCTAAAACTTCCACTACATCATTTGAGGCATTAAGCAGTTCTGTGCAAACAAGTGACTCTGCAATGTACAGGCCAACCCCCCCCTTTTGCCTGTTCACTCTGTCACATCTGTATAGGTTGTAACCTGGGATCCATATTTCGTTGTCCAAGTGATCCTTTATGTGGGTCTCAGTAAAAGCCGTGAACATTGCCTTTGCCTCTGCAAGCAGTCCACGGATGAAAGGTATTTTGTTGTTTGTTGCTGGCTTTAGACCCTGTATATTTGCAAAGAAGAATGTCATCAGACTGGTGGTATTGTTGGTACTAGGGGGGGGGATTTTTTTTCCGGCATTAGTA